GTCAGCGACTGGAACATTATGAAGACACAATAAAGACTTATGACACTAGAAGAACAAGTTATTGAAAACAAGAGAATCATAATAAAACGATCTATGCGTTTCTTAATATGCATCATCAGGTCAACCAAAACTGAATGTCATAAAAAATACAGTTGGCATTTTCCTACTTATGCAGCATACTTACATCCTTTTTACATAAACTTAGCAAAATGAATTGAACTACTATTATTGATGATTTTCGTAGGCAGAAGCACAAACTCCGGTCGGTAAGAATGGTCTGTTCAATATAGCTGCATAGATTGAAGGACGAGCCACCGCTCATAAATCAATTTCTTTCTGTTTTTTCATGCGATAAACTGACAGTTCAGAATTGATTTAATCATTGCCAAGAACGAGACGATCACTCCAGTTCTCCATGAAACAGATAAGTGAAATCACTGGGGGGTCCTAGCTCGGTAGAGAGCATTTTCTTTTTTTGGCATAGTTAATTACCTACCATAACCAATCTGATAAACGGCATACGAAGCTGCAGACGTCAGGAATAAAGAATCAGAGAATATTTGAAAATTCAAATGATTAAAAGAGTCAATTCGAAAGCAAGCAATTCCGTTACGAATATCCATTCCACTAAGTTGCCTGGCATTGAAGCATTCTTGAAGTATCCATAAAACCAAAGGCAATCACGTGACCGGTTACGAACAAACACTTATATAAATAATTGCATTTTCACGTGCACCGTGCAAACTCTTCAAGTCGTCTTCTATGCCATAAAGTTTTGGTTTCGCTTATGATGATCATTTCGGATCACATTGGGTATTGTTTTCAAAGACACTAATGAACAACCTTCCTGTTGATAATACTGCTGAGAGAAGTCAGTTTCACTCATTAATGCAAATTAAATCATTTGTACTTTAGAGTAACTTTAATTACTTCTGCATTACAACGTACATATACGAGCAGCGATTAACTGTTGTGAGTCTGACGATATTACTGTCTTTATACATTTCGATATTCATCCTAATGTTCATCTATGGTCATTATCACTGGCCATGACTGAAACATTTCGATCGGGTACAAGAGGTTCAAATGGGCGTCTTATGATAAATCGCTAGGTTCAAGCGTCTCGACAAAGTTCAGAGTGTTAAGATATCTGAGAAAACGCTGAGGTGCGGCTGCTGCTTCTCTAGATAGCTTGATAAGTCACATTTTGCGAATGCTTCCAGAAAAGATGGCAAGGCAGCTATTACTTGCTCAACAGACGGCCGAAGGACCCGGGGACAGCCAGGAATTACTGGGACAAGTGACTCTACGGCTCTGCTCCAAAACAGATCTTCTTCCGCTGAAGCTCAACGAATGGCACCACATCAGGGAAATTTCAGACGCTGTCTGACGCTGCGGCCTCGGTAACCCGAAAGTATAGGCGGTCATCGAAACAGAATGACTTACGTAAGCAGAGATAAAGGAACTTACATACGTTTCTGTTAACACTAATAGAGATAAGAACTTGTTCATATGCAGTTTACTTCCCTAAAATGCATCAGATTTTATTTTACACTTATTTATGTTATCGCTGATGCTGCGCGCACAACGTGTCAAGTTTCATTATAACCATAGATAATTATACTCCATCACATGAATACTTACCAAACAGGAGGCTTCATGAAGTTTACCCACTTTCGGCGACAGGAATGGACTAAAATCAAAAATCCAGATAAGCTTATTTAACAAACACAGAGTATCATTTATTGAACAGCCGATTATTCTCATCAACTGTAAAATTTTTGTACTCGTTTACCTTTAAAACGATCCCCAAGAAAAAAATTATAGTTGCGAAAGACGACCATAAACATTTTGAGCCATATCTACGCCCGACATACATCGAAACATTTAGATATGAAAAGCGGTATTTTTCGACTTGACACTCGGTTCGCTTTCTCCCGTGAAGGGCACAAAATCGCCAAAGCAGGAACCGGATGTCAAATTGGAAGATCTTGGAAATCAGTTTCCTCAGCCACCAATCAAGTAACAAATATGGTAGTAGGTTCATTGCAAGGATGGTAACAACGTTGCAGCTGTCGGCTTCTGAGCTGAATCAATGGATCGACATGCTTCTTTTTGAAGAACTTTTGAACGAACTGTAGCCGCTTCTCAGGTTCAAAAGCTGTTACGTCGGTCGTTTGAATCGTATAGATAATAACGAGATTTCCGGATGTTGTTTCATCAGGTACATGAACGGGGAAGTCCATACGAATAACCATGTAGAGGCAACCCATTAACGAATTCAGATCGAATTGGGAATGTCATACTCACTGGTATCAAAATTAATTGATGGACTTCGCAAAGTGCAGAAGGTACGCGAAATATACCTGGAATAATTTGCTACCGGTCATCAGTCAAATTGATGAAGTAAAATGAATTGGACAAAAAAGTATGATCCATTGTGAATGACTATTATATTAGGAAAATTAATGCATACCTCTGTAGAATGGCGTAGCAGTACGAAACGGCGCAGTGTTTTAATATCTTTATGTATAAAACATTCCTTGTATGACAAAAAATTAAGTTTTGCTTTAACTCATCGTTGTTCGATGTCGACTATTTTATTCAGTGAATATTCAGTTTAAAATTTTATCAAATAAACTGATAATGCTCTCATTCGTTTCTAGTCAACAGTTTGGCAGACTATGAGTGATACGTAGTGAAAGTAAGGGTAAATTGCATGCAAGTATTGTCGGCTAAATTGTAGATGAAAATTCTCTCATGACAAATTTTGCGCGTTATGTCCAGTGAGGCGATTAAAATGATATTAAACATAATGAAATTAATCACAAGCGAAAGTTCCCTAGGCTTTCGAAAGTTCCATAAACTTAAACTCGCGACTGATTATGATGACGTTAAGGGGCCGATAAAAGAACTGGATTGTCAGACGAAGATGCCAAGTGTGAAACTAACGTTTAACATGAAGGATCTATTAAAGTAATGATTGCGTGGTGACTTAGTGATCTCATGCAGTCATGGTGGAATTATACGATAAAACGAAAATTATCGATAGAGTTTAACAATGGAATTGCGCTGTAATTATAATTGCGGGGTGCTCTGTGCTGGTAAGTAATATGAAGGGAAAGTTAAATACTTGATAGAGAATATCATCTGTCAATGACGTAAACTCAAACTTGCGTCCGCATTACTGGACGCTGACGTAATATCCTTGCGCAGTTACTACGATGGAATTGCAAAAAAATTTACCGGGTTGACAACAGCGTCGTTCTTCGCCTACAGCAAAGTCCCAATTGATGCATGACACGATGAAGTAGTTCAAGCAGTTGATGCAGCTGATCACTGTCCAATTAAACTGGCTCAAAGCTGTGACTCAGGACCGAATAGTTGGCTTTCACCGCGAAACAGCCCGGGCCATAACATGTTTGCCAAAAGGTCTCATTCCGTAATATTTCTACTTCAAAGCAAAATAAAAGTTTTGCTTAGCTGAACAGGGTTCAGCTTGAATCGAAGTAAATTGGTAAAATGAGGTTAATGAGAACCTGTTAGGAACATACACGTGAAACATAATATAACTAACGAGAGGATGCAATATTTCCAGAATAGAATGCTAATATTGTATGGGTGCAGCAAAGTGGAGAGCTACTCTATAATGCATTCGTGAATCCGATAATGTAAGAGCATCAATTAAGTCGACATACAACGTGGTCAATCACATTATAACAACCTAGTGACTGTTCCTTTCATTCTTTAACCAATTGCAGAAGTTCTAAGGTTAGCGAAAAAAGCAGGAATAGATGTTCTTCTTAAGAGGTTTCACTGTAGGTTAAATACTTCGCAAGTAGTTTGAATATAAGGATAGGTACTTTGCAAAAATGTTCGGTAGCATATTAATTGTAACTAACGTCTTCGCATTTCTATTGGAAAGAAGTTGAGGACACCTAAAGTTATGATTAGTAAACAGAGCACGGTCATCGATATTAAACGTCCATCGGTTCTATTGCTGAGAGCCAGTTTATTTTCATGTTCGAAATTTACCGTGACAGAAATAATATAAAGTTAGTTATCAATGATTTATTACACGTCTGTGTGAATAATATTAGAATGCGTAACGACTACAATAGTTGTATGGCATGGAACAGTTTTTCTGACTATAGATCACAAATAACGGTTGAGCTATGTGCAGCAGTCTTGGTATCGTCTCATAATCAAAAGTATACGGCAAAACCACGTAAAGAATGACTCTCTTCCCGTCAGGGCACAACTGACTTCAGTCAATGAGGAAATTAAGATGAGTAAGATGGCGCTGTGAGACAACTGGCTGAACACACGCCATTTGCTCCAGCCTTTGAGGATGCAGAAACACCGCAGAAGTCGACGATGAGGTCAGCATGTATCATGGAGAAACGTGAGAGACAAACCTGCTTTTTGAAAAGGAGGGTGGTTTCTATGATGTAGCAACCGGAGCTTTATAGCAAAATCATTGCATAGCTGCGAATGCAGTAGACGTCGCAAATCACAGATATTCTACTTGTGGAAGCGGCTCAAGCTGATGAACACTCACTGCTGTCCCATTGAACGTGCACACTAATATTCTGGGTTACCGGTCTTAAACTATGTGAAATCTTTTTGTGCATTGCAAGAACATTTTGTACCCTGAAGAAAACGTTATTCTGCATTCGCAACGTTGGAAGTAACAAATGTTTCATAGTGGTATTCTTTCACAGATACTGCTACTTCAATACCACTACTTTTATTGCTTCAAAAACATACATTTTTATATGTATACACTGGATGCCGTTTTTATTATGCATTACTACTCCGGATTGACAAGGGGTGATTTCAGCGCCCCACTGCTTTTGAACTGATAAAGGTTTCGATAACGGCTTCAAGATTCCATTTGTTATAGCTCCTGCCGTCGTCGATAAAACCGGCATAATTGGATTTGATCAAACAGCAACCTGTTCGACATACCAACATAAAAAAGTACATGTATTCTTGAAGATATATGCAAATTCAATCAATTTTTTAGCTGATGAACGGTTGCAGATGTCACGGTGTTTGATACATGTGGATAAGGCATTAGTGAAAGAATTTTTAAATCTTTTAAGTAAAAAATTGGATGCCCAGCCGCTGGGCAGGCAGACGAGACTTCGCTGAAACTCTTCGGCATTAGACACTTTCAAATATTGAATCAGGTGCTGGAAAGGTGTTATGAATACAGATGGCCTATGCTGTAAATAGCTTTCGTCGAAGGCAGAAGGGTCGCTCATCTTCGATTTGCCAACAAAGGCGAAAGTAGCTGAATCTATGTTGTGGGAAGCAGAGTTAGACTTCAGATATAGAAGACGACGAGATGTCTGTTTGGAACAGCTGATCATCTCGTATGCATTCGTACCCTGTGCCTTATTTGATTCGCAGATCGCTGGAAGGCGACATGCAGCGTGAAGTACGTAGCAAAAAGTGCTGACATTCTTGAGAAGAGGACAATTTCGGTTGTGGGTAGCACCATCCTCCAACAAAACGTACCATCGTCAACTGCTGCGCTTGGTTGCGAGACCTTGCCATTAAACAGAAATGATGAAGAGCTACTAAGAGTGCGGCAGCGGGTTGTGGAAAGAAGGAGGTTGGGTGCTGCTTCACATCAGGTAGAAGTTGCGGAATGAAAAAATGAAGACGCACAGCCATACACAAACGTTGTGTTAGTTTCAAAAGTGCGAAAATCACTATAGGCAAATCGCGCTGCACTACTGAAGGGTGAGTGATGGACCTCAGCAGTGATGGATCGGTACCCGAGGGCCTGCGAGCGTTCAACAGGAAAATCTAGGCGATGATAAACCAAAAGAGAGATATTTGAGCTTGCGGCGACAAATCGTGTGAGACAGCCGGAGGAGAGTGAGCATCGAAACTAGGCAATGGTAGCCCCCGCTGAGCGGGAAAACCCTTCTTCTGTCGCCCATCACACTCGTGTATGCTTGTCCTTCATAGAATCCTTGAAGCCTTATTAAAATTTAATAGTGTTGCACGTGTGATTCACTAATAATAACCGTTTGATCGTTTATTATGCATGCCGTTGAAGAACAACTATAAGCAAAAGCGCGTTCTCCCGCAAGACCTTCAGTTCCAGCGTAATTCACCGAACGGTGCGTCGATTGCCGTCGTTAGCCATAGC